TTTCTCACCAATTTAATTAGTATCCACCATAGGTTTTTGCTATTTTTTACCCATACATTCATTAAATTGTGATACATTTTTAAAAACACAGTGTTATGGACTAAATTTCGTCCATAAAAAATTCACAGGTTGAAGCCTTAACCCACAATGTGACTCCATTTGGAGATAGGGCCTTAATGGAAGGTAATTAAGGTTAGATGAGGCCATAAAGGTAGGACTCTAGTCCAATGCACTGGTGTCCTTATAAGAAAGGAAAGAGACACCGGGAGAGCTCACACACAGAAAAGGCCATGTGAGAACACAGTGAGAAGGTACCATCTGCAAGCCAAGGAGAGAGGTCATATCAGAAACCACCCCTGCCAGCACTTTGATCTTGGACTTCCAGCTTCCAGAACTATGAGAAAACAAATTTCTGTTGTTCAGATGAGTCGACATAGAGGACTATGAAATTCAAATCTTTACCCTTCATCCCTTTCTCCTAAGCACTGACAGTCATTTTAGTCATCTATTTAAAATGAGCTCCTCTTCATGGCCTCATAATTACCTTCCCCTCGTGACTTCCATTATTTACATTAATGGATCAACTGTCAAGATGCCACATCGGGATCTCTCTTCCTTCCTCAATAGCAATAGCAGGATCTGAGAAAGATGACTAATAAAGCCCCACAAAGAGATCATCAGACCCTACCAAGCTAATAGCATGTGAGACTTTGGCTTAAGTCCCAGATTCACCTGAGGACAGGTAAAGGAGCATTAGCGAGCTGCGAAAGTTCATGACTGTGCTTCTTCCTTTCCTGACAAAAGATCAGGTCTGACAGCCTAAAGCATTTGAATAAGTAAAGGCCCCACCCTAGGTGCAGACTGAAAAGATATGAATTACTGTAGACAAAAAAACAACAGTTGCCTCAGGTCTCCTCAAAGCACTAAATTAGCAGGGAGCTCTCCCTGGTGCTACTTCCACTTTATCTTAAAACGTTCTTCCTGATTTATTAGTTTCTACTCACAACAGTGTGACAAACTGGCCTTCTGGCAGCATGGCCCTCCCCAAACATATGGGCATCAGGGCTGGGCCACCACACTACTCCCCTCCCTAATCCACTGTTCTTCAAGTCACATAAACTCAAAACTGTAGAGTTATCTCTGACTCCTTTCTTACTCTCATTAACTACTGGCCACCTGTAATGTTTATGTTTTCTTTAAAATTCCATTACCAGTTTCTGTTGGGATGCTGAGAAAGTTCTGGAGATGGATAGTGGTGATGGCTGTACAAAAGTATGAAGTGCTTAATGCCACTGAGGTGTGTACTTAAAAATGGTTAAAATAGTCCATTTTATGTTACATATACTTTACTACAATTTAAAAAAATTCCACTACCAATTATTTGTCAGATGCAGGTCCTTAGGACCAAGACCTAGGTTTCTGTGGGTCTTCTAGAGGTTCTCCCTGCACCTTCCCATCCATCCATCTTACAGAGCACCGCTAAAAATATTGCTTCCATCCTAGGACTTCTTTCTTCAAAAATGGACTGTTTGTAGGTCAATATTAATTCCTTAACCTAACATTCAAAATGCTCTATCATCTAGTCTCAGCCTACATTTATTTATTGTTTGTTTTGAAGAGAGCACGAGCATGTGAGGGGGGAGGGGCAGAGGGAAAGGGAGGGAGAGAGAGAATCTTACGCAGGCTCCTTGCCCAGCACAGAGCCTGACTCAGGGCTTGGGGCTCTCAAGATGGAGATCCTCCATCCTGAGATCATGACCTGAGCCAAAATCAAGAGTTGGATGCTTATCCCACTGAGCCACCCAGGTGCCCCTCAGCCTACTTTTAAAGTTATTCCATTTGCTAATTTCCTGTAGCTATGCACAGCTCTGTTAGACATTTCTGTCTCACACTGACAGTTTTTGCTCATGCCCTTCTCCTTGCCTATATGATTTTCCTCTCCATCCAAAGTCATGTGCCCCATTTTACTTTTTCCACAAAGTGTTCTCTGACCACCATAATCCAGACTGATTTCCCTCTCTCCTTGTTACCACTGACTGGATGTCCTTACCACTCATTTGAAGTACTGTAGAATGTACACCACACACAGTCCAACTCCTCAATTAAATTACACACTCCTTAAAGTCAGAATGTTTAATCTTTTATTTCTTGGTATCATCCTGCGTCTAAGTAGGAGGGGCTAAATAAATACTGATGGACTGATCCAATTCCAATTCATCAAGTAACAACAAAAAACATTCGTTGTGAGATGGGCATATTTGCATTTATATTACAGAAGATTTTCAATAGGGAACATTCAAATAAAGGAATTTCTAGTTAATCCTAAATGAAATGAATGGTATCCTAAAATCTTTTTATTGCTTATAATCCACATCTATTCCCAAAACATAACTGAGATTGTTAGAATAAAAAAGTGGATATGTTATTGGCCCACCTAGGTAAGGATAAGAGATCAAAAATCATGAAATACTGCCAAGCTGAGACAATTATCCTGGAAACCTCAGTCAAGAAAGGCAAGTTGTTGCAGTCAGAGGTAAGTTTAACAAGACCACGGGAAAGGATGATCGCACAAGCCCTTTAGAGTCTCTCTTAAATATGAACTGTCTAAACCAGGGCTGTGCCTCAAGCAAAAGGTTCTGGCAGACATCAACTTTAGATGGAAGTTTTTGATAAATACCTGGTACGCAGAAATATTGGTATGCGAACTAAAGATACAATCTCAGAACTTTAGACACCAGTCAAGTCTAAAATTGATAATCTGTTATACAAGAGAAAGAATCTAAATGGTGTTCTTCACACAGAGAGTCATTGTTGATCTGCATAATCAAAGGATGATCTAGAACTGCAGGAATGCTTACAGGCAACAGACTGTCCTCAATGGAAGTTTTGGTTTAGCTTAAATGTCTGAAAAAATACTTAGTTGAGGCTCTACATTTCTATCCCATAAAGCATGGAAGAGAGGATCCTGATGTGAAAAATTATGAAATACTCTGCTCTTTACACAGGATAGAATTTGAAGGCCCTTAATATTAAAAAAAAAAAAAAAAATCTGGCATGGGATTGTGACAGAATATAAAAGCTATTTAATCAGTTATGATGAGGACTGAAATATAAAAGGGTAATCTTTTTTATCAAAACACTTTTATTACATATTTATTGCATTTTAATGTCCAAGTGTAACATCTGCCTTTAGTGAGTCTGTAAAGAGCCTTGCCACTTCAGCTTTCGAGCGACCAGCTGAGCGTGTACCCTCCACTCTAAGAGTACCACATACAGCATAAACCAAGAGAAGCACCATAGCTCTTTTCTACCTGAATTATTAAAGAGAAATTTATTTTCAAGAGGCTGTACTATCTGATAGCTAAAAGCATACTTTATTTCCTTCCGTCACTTAGCAGCCTGCAACTAGTAGTGTACTTCCATTAATAGCTCCTTTATTGAACATTTCAGATCTAGCCCTAAAGGTTTTTAGGAAGTGAGAGAATACTGCTACTGTGGCAAAAGTCAGTATCTCCGTCCCATTTAGAATTTGTTATTTGTGCATAATCACACAACCCCTTAGGTTGTGTATATAACCAGCTTTACTTTTAGAATGATACCACTTGCTTTTTATGATGCAAATCAGTTTTTCTGGCTACCAGGGAGAAAGGTCATGAATGAGAAATAATTTACAAAGAAGAGCTAAAGTATAACAAAATATTACTAGAATGTAACAAAAATAAAACACTGCATTCCCTTTATCAAATGAAAGCTATTCTAAGAAACCTGATAAAACCTTTTAAAATTCACAAGTATTCACAAATATTAATATAGTATCATTAATATTAGTATCTTAAAATTAAGACATATTAATAAAGATTCTTAGTAATACTAAGTATTTGATTACTAAATATTTTGTATGAAGGACATATTTAAATCTTCAACTAGCTTTTGTAGCAATTATTTTAAAATGATTTTCAGAAATTTATCTTAAAATTTAACATCTCCGTGACAAGGATAAAATAATATTCTTAGAAGAATCAGTTAAGGAGCAATGGCTACCTCCTTCAGATCCTCATAGATACAAACATGAAAAAGTTCAGTTTCTAATGAACAAGCCTCAAATAGGTCACTTACTATCACTTACCGATATGGAAATCTTTATTAAAAGCACTTAGATCACCCAAACAATTGGTTCTGCAATTTTTGCTTTCATATTTGATCACTATTTTTTAGTAGACTACAACATACAACATGGCTTTCTCACTTACCCATTCTTTAGCATACTTACCACGTGTGAATAATTACACCACTGCTTTAAAGGAATGTGGTTTTAAGCAACATCCTTTTTAACCTGGCAATTAGCACTCTTAAAAATACATGTTCTCTTTTTCACTCTAACGTGGCACAAATCAGGAAAGAAATGGCTTTTCAAGACTAAATCATTTTTCTTACTATATTTGAGAGAACTAAATAATGATCATGCCTATAATTACTACCTTTAAATATGAAGTTTCTTCATTCAAAATCACTTCATAATGCAATCAAAAACCAATTTTCCTCCAGTTGTGTAAAATGAACACAATTATTTTAGGGCTCAGTCTTGCTTGTGAGAGAAAGACAGCACACTACTGACCATTCAGTTTCAAAAGGTCACTAACCAAATACAATTTAATTAATACTTCCAACTTAATGCCTTATTGTCACTCCTTCTAGGACAGCCACTAGTCAGAAAAGAATTTCTCTGGCCCACAAATATTAGGGCTTTTCAATATTAAGTATTCATCTGCCAACAGTCTCAGAGATTACACTTAATAGTGGTATTTCATAACCAGTTTAGTATTATTTTAGGGTAGATAATGGGGCCCTAGAGTAACTAAAATAGAAAGATGGTGGTGATGGAGAGACCACTAATATTTAAAAGCTTAATATTTAAAATTTAGGTGTTTAATATGTAAAGGCTTATTTTTAGCTGAAAAAGAAAACTGGTTGAAGTGCTAGAAGGATTTAACCGCACTAACCCCGAAAGAGCTGAATGAATCGAGGGTGCAACGCGGAGGTGACCACACTCTCCGGCAGCTCCCTCAGGAAGAGCTTCAACAGACTGGCTGCTGAGCAGACGTCCCCGTCTCTCCCAAGCTCCACTGGGGCTCCACTCTCGAACTTGCATCGGAGCTGTTCCACCACCTTCACGTTGCCATTCACTCTAAAAAGGCCTTCCTGGGTGAGTCCTGGAGCGGGGGAGCAGACACGCAGAAAATAAACGGAGGTCTCGCACAGACACTAACTCTAGAGAACAGTAACCACAAAATAAATAAATCTCACTACAGGATTTTCTAAAGGATTATCCAGTTCTGGAAAATGTTCACATTTTGCAAAAAACATTTTCCTACAGTAATCAATTTTCACACCTACTATGTATCAGCTAAAATGATCATACGGGATTGTTCTAAAAGCTGACCTCGAAGAATAAGGTTAGGACACATATAAACATAGAACAGATTCTTCTACAAAGAAACTGCATTCATATAATCTGCAGTACATTACAGGAAACTTACCCTGGGCTCCAACAGTGGCTCAGCGTTTTGAAAACTATTGAAAAGAAAAACTAATAGGTATGTAGGGAACTTCTTAACTGTATGTGATTATATTTGTAATAATTAAGAAATATTCTTTAGTGATCACTGAATTCCAAGGATAAGACTCTATGAGATTAAAAAAGTAGCATAAGACAAGTTCGTTGCCTTCAGCCAGTTGACAGGGGATGTTACTGTTGGCTGGGGTCAGCACAGAAGGCTCCACAAAGGTGCCTTTGGGTGCTCTGCACCATCTCTGACTGAAGCATTGGGACGATGGGAAGCAGGCTGATGAACTGTGAAGCTAATGCAGTTTAAGCTTCAGGGCCCTGTCATTTATTTAGGCCCTTTCCAATGCTTGTCCCTAATTCTTATTCTTAATTTTGTATTCTTTTTCTTGAAAAGGGCCACCAGAGGGTTAAGTAGCAGGACACATAAAACCCTGACTTATCCCCAACAAAGAGGAACAAATATATGAATTGAGAGGCAGAGACAAGGCAGCATAAAGGAAGATAAACACATGGAAATGTGGAGTGTTTAGGTCAAAAGAGATGGGGTAATAAAATGGAAGAAATGGGAGAGGGCCACAAATGTCAAGTTCAACAGTGAAGACCTGGGGTGCCCAGCGGGCTCAGTCTGTAGAGTATGCAACTCTTGATCTCAGGGTTGTGAGTTTGAGCCCCACGTTGGGCATAGAGCTTACTTAAAAACAAAAAGGGAAGACTTTATCATGGGAGCGTTAAGGGGTAGGGGGAACACAATATAATCAAGCATTAAGAACATCCTGCTAGCTGAGAAGAGAATGGAGAGGGCAGAAAGCCTGCCTTAGGGAACCACATTCTACCCTAAGACAGTAAGACAGATTCCAGTGGGAAGGGTGAAAAGCAGAGAAAAAAAGATGCTTGGGTAACTTAGTACAAAAAGGAAGTAAGGAAGAAGAGTTGAAAGGTAATTTTAAGGTTTAAAAACTAGTAAGGTTTAAAAACTAGGAATCCAGGAAAAAGCACTGTTAAAGGATAAGGTGAAGTGGGGATGAGGGATGGTAGCTGGTTTAGGGGAAAGGTAATGATTCCCAGCTGGGTTCAAGGAGACAGAACACCATATAAGAAAGCCAGCCAGCTTGTGGAGGCGTGCTGAAGGTACAAGGAACAATCTTTCTAGTAAAGAGCAACCCAAGGACTCAACCAGCCACTCTTCCTTTGAGAGCCTAATGGTGAAATTCAGCAATGATATAGGCACTGAAGCCCATGAGAATTATTTAGATGGGGGGGGTTTGTTCATATCAGCCTTTGCTTCTTTCTCTTACCTGCTAATTGTAACGCTCTCTCTAAAGAAAAAGAATGCTAATTTCATTTTAATTTGTAATTTGATAAAACATTTTATGAACCCTTCAATTCAATAAATATGTAATAAGTACCTGGCACTGTGTTAAGGAACTTAAAAAAAAAATTCAAACACTACCATTATTCTTATGGAGTTTGTAGACTGATAAGATGTTTGCATATAAACTTTGGATGTGGAGAACATGAATATCAAAAGTTGATGAGCATTTTAGCTACAATTTTGATAAAAGTTTGTGAAACCAGTGAGGATATTAAAAGTATTTCACCAACCAGTGTGACCAGGGCAGATAAGGAGATAAGAGTCAGCGTGTGTGGTAGGCAGCTTCTCAAATGGCCCTAATGATGCCCATCTCCTGGTATCCTCACTCATGTGTAATCCCTTCCCCTCGCATGTGGTCTGGATCTAGTGCCTTGCTTCTAACCAGGAGAATATAACAAAATTATGTGATTAGGTTCTAATCTTGCTTTTCAGATTAGACTATACAAGATTGATGTTCATCTTACTTGTTTATTTCTCTCTGGCTTTGCAGCCTTGCTCACTCTGATGAATCAGATGCTTTTTATTTGGTTAGCTATGAGAGGTCCACGTGGCAAGGAACAGAGGGTGGTTTCTGGAACACCAGCCAGTGAGTAACTAGTGAGTAACTGAGACCCTCAGGTCAACAGCCCACAAGGAACTGAATCCTGCTAACAACCACGTGAATGAGCTTGGAAGTGAACCTTCCCCCAGTCAAGTACTGTTATGACTGCAGCCTTATAAGAGACCCTAAGATAGAAGACACAACTAGATTGTGCCCAGATTCCTGACCCACAGAAACTATGAGACAATAAACACTGTTGTTTTAAACTACTATGTTTTGGGGTAATCTGTTACACAGCAACAAACATGATGCCATTCCCTTTAATACTGCAGAATCTCAGTTTTTGAGAGACTTCCCGTTTAACTCATTTTTAAACTTTCAAGGTCTATTTCCTCCATTCTACAAGCTTTATCTGTAACTTCAGAAATGTGTACTGCCTTCAACAGACAGCACCCAAAAAACAGCACCCATCTCTGGTCAAGGCCCAAATCATGAAAATTTAGAATTCTGCATCTACCCAGCTCCTGAGCCTGTTTTTGGCCAGCAAACGCCTCTTGGACCTGATTTCACAGTGTTTTTCTAGCTTTGACCTCAGGTTTTCTTTTCCAACTAGGCTTTTTGACCCTTCCTTCAAATAAATATTTCCAGTTATTCCAAAATAACTACCCAGCTCTAAGAACTGGCTTTGGTCCTTCAAGGTCCCTGATCCCACTGCCCTTTATTGGCAGAGAGATAAGGTATAAATGGGGGTCACTGAGGTTCATGCTTCTTCTCAACTGTTTTTTCGCCCCTATTCCATTTATTTAACTCTCTTCCCTCAAAAATATCTCTCACCCAAACAATTCTTATGATATCCAGTGATTTTCAACTAGGGGCAATTTCCCCCTGGCTGTATTATACTTTGGGGGGAAAAAAACCCATACAATTTTTTAAAGCCCCTTACAAATTTATAATATATCCAATACCCATATGAGGCTTACCAGACTGCCATCTCTCAATTTTCCTACTCCAAATTCTTAGGAAAAAGAAATGTTCAGAGGACGGAAATGCTTAGAAGGCTTTGTGAAGTTATTCTCGCATATTTCCGAGATTCTCTTATATTTGACTTCAGGAGGTACAGGTTAATCAACACAAAACAGCAACTTAATAATTGGTTTAAAAATGAAAAAATTATCTAAATGAAATAACATCTACCCCATTGACAGTCACTTTCCTGCACAATTAAGATTTATTTCAAAACAGTATGAATACATTGTTAGAAACTGAAAATGCCAGAAGTCAGAATTTGCTTAACTGGCACACTTTGGCCCAGAAAGTAGGACAATAAATGAGCATATTCTGACACCTGGTGGTAAGTGGAGAGTTCTACACTATTTAAAATGGTATATCCCATAGGATCTTCACTCTAAAGAGAAGGAATCCAGTAACACTGTCAGCAAGATTATTTTTAAAACAGTATAAAGATGATCTAGCTTATAACTTGTAAGATTTTCCTTCAAATGGGAAAAATTACATATTTTTCCTTCTTTTTTAGGAAGATAAGTTCAAAGTCTTTTTAAAAGACCTTCATATTGACCTTAACCCTTTCTGTCCTAAAATTCTTTCATAATGTAGAGTTTTCCCTCAAGTCGTTAAAGGTCTACACGTACTGTGATCATACTTTAATGTTTAATGTAACTACCTAGGGTTAAATAATATGACCAATCATCCCTACCTCTGATACCTGACAGAGGGCCTACTGGATTGTGCACAGTAGGTGCACAATAAGGAGAGGCACAATAAATACTTGTTGACTTAAAAAAATACAAATAATTAATGAAGCTAATTGAAGTATCTCTCCCACAAACTTCATTCCACCCTTCAGACTAACACAAAGTTTTTGGTTTATTAACATGATAGTTTCAGACATAGTACGGAACTTCTAGTTGTCTCCACAGTAATTAACTACACAGCCTTTCAAAATATAGGATAGGTGCCCTACCCACCTTAACTTGCCAAGCCAAGATTCAATCTGATTCCGTGGGTCTGAAATATCACCAATGGATAGGTATTCTGAAAAGATTCCACTAGTGATTCTATTTCACATTTCTAGTTAAGGATAACTGATTTTCTATTTTACATCTCTAGTTAAGAGGGACTGATTTAGCCCATGAAAATATTTAGTTCGCATTACCTGAATATACCCGACTAAACGATAAGTATGGGTAAGAAGAGACAGAAGAAAACCAATACCTAACTCAGATTTTGCCAAAAAGTTCATAGAATGATGTTGTGAATTTAACTGGTTCAACTCCTACAGAGTTGATTATAAATGCACATATCCTTGACCCAGGGCTACAGATACAACCACAGTGCTTGAAATGAACCGTGTGAAAGGTTGGTCACTGAATCATTGCTTACAGATCGCAAAAGACTACCTACAACTCAGTATTCATCAGCATGTGACTGCTTAAAGAAATGATACATGTATATAGTCAGTGTGTAAGGGAAAAAAGGATCACATGGGTAAAGCTTTTTATGCAATATGGAAAGATCTCCCCAAATACTGCTAAATGACTTTTTAAAAAGATTTTGTAACTGTGAAATGCTGTATTTATATTCAAAGGGAAAAAACATATGCATATATGATTATATATATTCATAAATTATCTTGGTAAGACTATATCAGACACCGGTAATGTTTTGGGAGGGGAAATGAATAATTGGGGGACAGGTTTTGGAGGGAGAGATTTTTCAGTGCATATCCAGTATCTTGCACCACATAAAGATACTAACTAGTCAATAATTTTTTTTTTAAGATTTTATTTATTTGACAGAGACACACACAGAGAGCGAGGGAACGCAAGCAGGGGGGCAGTGGGAGAGGGAGAAGCAGGCTCCCTGCTGAGGCAGGAGCCTGATGCGGGGCTCGATCCCAGGACCCTGGGATCATGACCTGAGCCGAAGGCAGACGCTTAACGACTGAGCCACCCAGGCACCCCTAATTTTTTAAAACTTAAAAATGAAAATGATTTTACATAAGAGTAACCCCAAGAGGCTATTAGTCATTATTAGGTAAAAGATCAGAACACTGACTATAACAAAACCAAAATATTTTAGGTAGTCACACTTTGCTATCCAAATGAATACTACTGAACAACCCTATTTAAGAGATTAAATGAATTACCTAGAGATCCATTTATATCTAAATCAGCAGGATACACTTTTACTCAATGCTGAATGTTTCTGAGTCCTTTAAAGCTCTAACAATTTGATGTGGCTTCAAGATCCTATAGGCCAACGTCCCATCTTCCTGCCATTCTGTATACTACACCTTTTTTGTTTAACCTGTTTAATGTATTTGAATAAACCCAGAGCTATTCTCTAAGAATCTTTCCTGTCTGCAGCTTATCATCCTCTAAAGATACGGGGATATCTCCTATGAAGTAAGAGTGCAAGACTGGCTCTTCAGTTTTCAGAACAAAATATCATTTTGTCATCTACATACCTAGGAACCTGAGCAAATAGTTGCTTTTTCAGTTAACACAAAACACCTGACCTTCTGAGGGCTGAACTACGTGCCATACCCTTCCTGTCACAAGCTGACTCACATTCCTACAGAGTAACAGATGCACTGTGCTTCTCACGTATTTCCAATAAAGGATTGTTCTTAGTGGCGGGCAGGGGCGGGGATGGACTCGTAATCATGGGAAGATAAGGAAACAAACTGCACAAAGTACAGAATGCCTCTGAAGTCTCAAGTTTTCCCTTTAAAAATTCCTAATTTTAAACCCTATTCTGCAATGAGTCTTTTGTGTAGAAATGTTGTTTCCCTATAGAAAACAATGAAAATTCCAAGCTTTTCCCTCACAAGATTTCCTTCCCAAACCTGCTAAAGCTTACTGATACTCATTATGTAGTTTGGGGTTTTCCTATCATATTGCCCTAGTTTGAACAACATGAATATAGGGGATATGGAAGAATTTTCTCTCTACTTATCCAGGTTTTTAAGTCCCATTTTAATTAAAATCATTAAAAAAAGCTGTAAGATAGCTCTCCATAACAGAGATTTATCTTTTTATCATTCAATGAACTATGTTATTCTCCAGTTGTTTTACATGCTTAATTGTATCACTTCAAAAGCAAATGACCCCCATAATAGGCGCTATACCATACTTTTTTTTTCTTTAGTATCCCCACCGAGTTTATGAAACCAATCAAGGCATCCGGTAAGTTCAGGATTGAACTCAGCTGAAAAAGATACCCCAAAAGTGTTCTGTTACCCTAAACATTACTCTCAGTTGGAATTTAATGAGTCAAGAGAAGTCACTATTGTTAGAACATGTATTTTATTTTTAAGATTTATTTGAGAGAGAGAGCGCGCACGCACACATGCGTGAGCAGGCAGAACGACAGTGAGGCAGAGGGAGAAGCAGGCTCCCTGCTGAGCCAGGAGCCCGATGTGGGACTCGATCCCAGGACCCTGGGATCATGACCTGAGCCCAAGGCAGATGCTTAACCAACTGAGCCACCGAGGCGCCCTGGAACAGTGTATTTTAGAACTCAAAACTAGGAATCATTCCAAACTAGAAACTTCAATGATTAAATTGATTGGCCTGTGGTAAATTGAACAGTAGTGTCAAAATAATATTATGCAGTAATACTGCTCTTAAGGTCCTTTTTAAAAGAAAAGGTATATTACATAATTTGATATTCTAATTAAGGTGTTTTAGGGAATATTCTAACACATCGTGAAGTAGCTCACACAGAAACCTTCTTCTGGTACGCAGGAACGGTAAGCAGAACAGAGTGAAACCACGACTTACCATGCTTCACCAAGTACTCCACGATAGTCCCCACTATAGCTGGAATGCCGTTCTCCGTGAGCCCCTGCTGTTGAAGGTCTTGGAGGCTGACTCCAAATAACTTCTTATAGGTTGAATTCCTCTGCTCATTTAGTGGCACTGCCACTATCTTTTTCATGTCTTCTTTCAGCCGAACCGCTGCTTTACTTTGCTTAAAAAAACGTAAGAAAAAAGAGCAGTCAGTCATATTTACCACAGGAGGTTGCATGGTTACCTGAATTGAAATGTAGGCGTCTGGAGACCCATAGGAGTGGTCTTTACTAGTTTTTACTTCCACTCAAGTCAAAACTATTAACATCTCTCACAGGTTGCTCAGTGTCATGAATGGCACATACTGATAGAATAGTTAAAAGAATGAAAAATGAGAAACCTAAAGCCACAACTTAACTGTAGCTAAGGGAGGGAGCAATACACTGCAGTATCTAAGATAGATTATTACAGTAACCAAGGGGTGTGACTCAGAAGTACCTGGTTAACAGGAAAAGAAAACATTTATAAGATCACTGAAACTCCATGCTGATCCTAGAACAAGAGGTTTCTGAAGATGAAAATGTATCTAGATGCCATTTTAAGGTAGCTTTAATTTGGAGTCTTAGAAAAAATATATTTAAGTAGAGTGAACATTGGTTTCTCTGATTTAATTACATCTGTGAATATCTCATCACTATTTTGGCACATAAAATCAGTTCAATTCTCACTGAAGTTCAAAATATTCTATCTCTGAAACAGCAACATTTCATGTAGTCACAATTTAAACATTTTCACAAGATTGTACATATTATAAGTAAAAAGTGCAGCTTATATTTAATTCAAATTATCACAATGAAAAATCCACACAAATGTTTCTTCCTTTTAATAGAAATTTGTACCCCAAGGAAGTACTACATTAAACCATATTAAAATTTATCTTTTATAACTAAATGAGGGATTTTCTTTTTGAAGCATGTGTACTATATAAATGTTATGTATTTATGAGTCTAAACACTGAGAAGCTGGAAAAATACAAACCATTTTATCTGGGGACAGAGGCAGTGGATTGGGGGAAACTTTCAATCTTTGAGAATGAATGTAGCAACCAACTGAAGTGTAAATATTGTAAGTACAAGCTCATGTAGCTATTACCATCTAAAAGTAGACACCTTACCTCCAGTTTAGAATTGAGGAAACAAAGATCAGAGTTAAGTAATTTAGCAGAAGTCACAGGACTGATAGGTTTCATCCTCCTCTAGGTCCATGTTCCTTTTCTTAAAGTTAGATTTATATTAATGTCCTAGTGCAGTTTGTATATAATTATAGTAACATACTACAATCAACTCTATATATGACCTGAGAAAATGACAAAGTTAATTCTACAATCTTGATTTTGAGTATGGTCCCTGTATTCTCAACTTGATTTTGAATCATATAATCTACAGAATCACACCAACTTCCATTGAGATGTTTACATATTTTGGTAGGTCATATTTGAAAGCCAGATTTTTCTAGTGAAAATTCAGCAAATGTAAAGTTACAATACAGATTTAGTATCTATTATTATTTTATCTATAATATCTATAGATATTATTTATGATAATCTATAGTATTATCATAGTGTTAGCTACTACAGAGTAGTAGTATGGGCAGTAACTATGATCTGTTGCTACGGAAATTATGAATTTATTAAGCAAAATTTATAATACCTAATAATTTTTTGTGGGGGTTAAAAACCTATCAATCTCCTTCAACTGAACATAGGAGAAATTTCAGTCAACCAGGTGTATCTGGTGAGCAAGAAGCCAAAAAGTAACCAGTATAAATGATATATTGAAAATACTCTCAAAATGTAGCACTAAAAACAGCTGACAATATAAGGTTAAATCCTACACATTTTATCTTACTTTTGTTTTATCTTCTTACAGGGACAATACAGCATAGTGTTTTGGAGCATGGAACCAGGCTTCTTGTTTCAAGTTTCATTCTATTAGCTGTGAACCTTGGACAAGTCACTTGACTTCTGTGTGCCTATTTCCCCATCTGTGAAACAGTGATACTAAGAGTTCCTCTCTCATGTGGATGGATATAGGAGACTGCAATGAATTCACATACAAAAAGGAATGAGAAGAACACCTGGCACACTGATTATGGATTGTTACAAATCATTACAACCATCATCATCATCATCATCATCCTTATTCTTCCAGGAAATTATTCTGATTTCTTCTTCAAAAAATGGAGATACACTCAATTATTTCTATACTCAATGTGTGTCTAAAGTTTGCCTTTTTTTTTTTTTTTTAAGATTTATTTATTTGACAGAGATAGCGAGAGCAGGAACACAAGTAGGGGGAGTGGGAGAGGGAGAAGCAGGCCTCCCGCTGAGCAGGGAGCCCAATGTGGGGCTCGATCCCAGGACCCTGGGACCATGACCTGAGCCGAAGGCAGATGCTTAACGACTGAGCCACCCAGGCGCCCCTAAAGTTGGCTTTTTTAGAAGGCATCATGGTCAAGACATGTTTGGTTGGTAGTCTGATGATCTAGTTATCCTCTATATATCTCTAATCTCCTAAAATATATAAGAATGACTTCTGAATGATACAGATAAAACAATATTGTATATATATATCAGAATTCCCTAAGTTTTTATTAGAAAGTCAAGGTTTCCTTGGAAATGCTTGAGCTTAAATTAGTGGTCTTTCTGCTAACACCCCTAATCTTCACTCTGTCCTTTAGTCAGAATTGCAGACAGCAGGTTGTGTCTCCTATTAGTAGACAGTGTAGATAAGCAATCCTGGTGTTATGGATTAGAAAGTTTTCAAGAAAGAGCCAGGCAATGGACCTCACAGACTTTGAAGTGACTACAAATTAAATTAGCTGTTTACTCAATTTAGAGCCACACTACACAGAAAATTTGTATGTAATCATAATAAAAGAACCTCTGTTTTTAACTGGTAATGTAATTCAGGTTAACATTTTAAAAATAAATATCGTTTAAAAAAACACAATGAAACAAAACAACTATTTCCTGAGTCATCACAATCAATTTGTCAGTGACCACAAATATAAAAGTGTAGCCTGGTTAATGAAGAAATCAGCTAGCAGGAAGCAATGAGATGTTACCACCTAAACTACTATACTACTTCAGTAGTTTATACCTAAATTATTATTTTTTTAAAGATTTTATTTATTTATTTGACAGAGAGATAGCACAAGCAGGCAGAGAGGCAGGCAGAGAGGGAGGGAGAAGCAGGCCCTCCACCGAGCAGGGAGCCCGATGCGGGGCTCGATCCCAGGACTCCAGGACCACGACTGGAGCCGAAGGCAGCCGCCCAAACAACTGAGCCACTCAGGTGCCCCTATAGCTAAATTATTAAAAAAATATACAGCAGCTTACAGCAAATATAATGACCCCTTCTGGTAAGTAATAAATATTCAATAGTCCTTTAGTCATGGAAAAATAACTGTAGAAATAAAGTCATTTATGATTAATTCTACTTAAACTGAAATTATTTTCTACTCTTAGACAATGATATATCATTACTTCTTTATGTCAGTATCTATGTAATTTTACCTTTTCAAACATGTATCTTACCTTTCTTGATTTAAAATAAGCTAAAAATGACTAATTGAGATATTTTGAGTCAAACTTAACTCTTTAAACTTTGCTTTGTGTATATTCCCATTCATCAAGTATTTGTTGGTTTGGGGTCACCTTGTCTCCACTTCCCCTTTTTTTTTCTAGTAACATATCCTAACTGTCTTTTGGGGAATGACTATACCCTTGTTGTGAATAATGTCGTAGGGACTGCCACTGAAAAGGACCACCCTTTCGAAAGAACTATCCTCAGGCTCCCTACCAGGTACATCAGACCCTTCTCTCTTGCAGGCCACTGACGCTTGAGTGGATGGTCACAAGCACAGAAAAAGGCTGGAACTAATTGGTTCCAGCTGCAGTGTTCCCACAAGCCGTTAATTAACCATTAGATTAACTCTTGCCACCTGCATTGTTGGAGCTACTATGGTTCTTGAGCTGCCCTGACATTGGTGTTTCAGCTGTTCTTTCATGTGGTGATCCACTCCATAACTTGCTACTGAAGTTTCTTTGGGTTTAAGGTAGCCAGAATCCATTTCTGTTCTGAGATAGACAGACAGACACACACACACACTCTCACACAAACTGATAAAAGTACTTTTGAAAAAATAAAATAATAATCAGAGCATATAGAAAACCAGGACTTTAGAAGAGATATAATCAGAAGGATAATGATGGCTGACTTATATGAAGTCAGCTGACTATGTCATGGCTTCAGATTCTTCAGATGGTTTCACTTGTTAAACCCCAGAAAAGAAATACTAGGAAGGAAGAGCCTTCTGTGATCCCCATTTTACAGAGGCACAGAGGATCTAAGTAATGTGCTCTAGGTTGCATCAAGGATGTGGTGCAGCCAAGAGTCACACTAAGGCAATCTGACTCCAGAGGGCAGATGCTTAATTCTGCCTCCACAAAAGATGGGGTGAGAACAAAAAGCATATGCTGCGCAGTCCACTGCCCTTGTTAGAAATGAGAAAAGTCCTATTTTTGTGAAACAGGAAAATAGGATTATTTACAAGTTTCTTGGTCACCTTAAAGTCAGATATGCTCAGAAGCAACATCAATATTTCTGCTGTTAAAACCTGAAAAGAGAATACTTCCATCAATCTTGTAAATGGGATGAGTTTCAGAAGCCTTGAGTTTTTTAATAGCTAACATTTACTGGGTGCTGATTTGTGCCAGCTCTGTTGTAAGTACTTTAAAATTAACATCTCTAAATTTTAAAACAACCTTATCAGTAGGCAGGTTTACTATTCCCACCAGGACAAGTAAACTAAGGCACAAAGAAAAAGGAACTTGCCTAAGTTTACACAACTAGTAAGTTTTAGAGAGTATAACCTCCAGGTGCTCTGGCGCTTGGGCTCTTAAAGAACCTTTAATATTGGTGGTTCTACATAGGCCCAAGGAGGACAACACTACATGCAGCTCTTTGTCTTCAGAGCTTAATACAAAAATCAATTTGTGACTACTGAAATCAATAGCTTGTATTTCCTTAAGGCAATCCTTCAAGAATTTAAGTACCAGCATTTTAAGGTACTTTGAAGAACAATCAGATTACATTGCCCGTTAAATTCAGAACTGCG